AGCCAGCACCTTCCAAGCATCGCCATCTCTCGCCTGCCTCCCCCTGCCTGGCTGCCAGTCCCCGCCAGTGCCCCTGAGGCAGCACTCCGTGCCCTCTGGCTGAGCAGGGGCAGCAGCACCTACCCAGGGCGGAGCTCGCCCGCAGGAAGCCAGCCGACTCCTGCCAGCACCTGAAAATCCTCCTGCTGTGTCTTGTGGACCATCAGCCCCATGCGGGTGATCTGGGGAGAGACACGCTGTGCCCTGGGGAAGGCATCACCCCATCTGCCCCCCTGGGGCTCATGCAGCATCCCTGGGGCCTGGGGAAGGGCTGCAAGCCCCAACTCCCCATTCCCAGGTTTGGGCCACGTTTGGTGGCAGCCAGCCCCTGGAAAGCCCTGCCCCACTCACGTCCCCACCGCTGTCCTTGATCCCGACAATGTTGGGGTGCTGAGCCAGGGTGAGGACAGCTTCCAGGGGCAGGTCCAGGCCAGTGTTGGCGGGGACGCTGTAGAGCACCACGGGAATGGGGGATGCATCGGCGACCTGCAGGCAGCCGGGCAGAGCTCAGCAGTTAGGGTGGGTCGGAGACATGCAGGACGTGGTCTCCGTCCTGCTGCCCCGGCCAGGGCTGCCCGTGGGCACCAGGCGCCGCTCACCTTTGTGTAGTGCTGGACCAGGGCAGTGCTGGTCATGGACCCCCGGTAGTAGCAGGGTGTAACGACCAGCTCGCCCCCTGCCTCTGCCATGCTGGCTGTAAGCTCGATGGTGGCCTGGGTGGCTGGGGAGGAGGCAGAGGAGTGAAGGATGCCCTGGGGAGACACACGTGGCCCCCGCGCTGCCCGCGCTGGCACTCACATTCACAGCCAGAGCCAGCCAGCAGCAGGCGGTCCCTGGGCAGAGCCCGGCGCACACAGCTCACCACCTCCAGCCGCTCGCGAGGTGCCAGGTAGGGGTACTCCCCGTTGGAGCCCAGCACCACCAGACCTGAAACACAAGCGTGGGGAGGGCAGGGCTCGGACTCAAGAGCAGGGTGCCCACAGGGTGGTCGTCCCTTCCCTCTCCACACCCCACACTTAGATGGGCACCAGGCACCCGGAGCAGCCACTTTGGGCCAGAGAGGCTCCCAAGATGCCCTACAAAGCCCTGGGCTACCCCACAAAGGGCATATGTGGGTATGTGCCTCCAGCTGGCAGTGCCTACCTCTGCGGCACTGAGCACCAGTGGTACCATCCCTTACCCAGGCACCCTTGTGCGTGCCGTGCATGTACCCTGTGGGCTGAACTCGCTGTGTGCCCATCTCCATCCCCAGGAACCACCCCACACAGCATCACTAGTGAGGCATTTATTGGTGCCCGAAGCCAGGCTGTGCCATCCTGTCCCCGGCTGGGGCTCATAGAACCCTTCCTTGGGACCCTGCCAACGCTATGGACACAGGGAGGCCAGCTCTAGCCCAGCACTGCCGGGCTCTGCTGTGGCATACAGGGCCCCCATCACCCTCACTCCCTTCCTTGCTGTTGGGCACCCAGGCAGGGCTCTGCAGCCCACAGTGTGCCCTCTCCTGTCTGTGTCCCCACAGTCCTGGACTCACATCCCTGTGAATCCCAGCCTCTTCCTGCAGCCCCTCTCCTCCCATCCATCCATCCTGGGCAATCAACAGACACACATCCCGTCACGCTGAATCTGTGTGAGTGTGCACAGGTGTGCAAGCACATGTATGGGGCAGAGGGTAGGTGCAAGCCTGCACACATGTGGAGCGTGCATGCAAGCACGCACTGGAGTGTGGTGGGGGTGTGCAAGGACACATGCCTGTGCCTGGTCACATGCCACGTAAAGGCCCCTAGGTGAGTTACCAGAGGGGCTGCCAGCCTGGAGCAAAGTCCGGCTGGAGGCTGAGCACCATCGGAAAGCCAGCAGGCTGCCTGCACACTGCCACAGGGCCCCTGCAGTGGGCAGGGGTCTGGCAGAAGCCTGCACGGAGAGGGGCAGCGGGCAGCGCTTACCTCGGAAGGGGATGCTGGCATAGTGGCGCAGGTTCCCCTCCAGCTGGGCATAGTCCACCTCCTGTGTGGGCGAGAAGGGGGTGGCAAGAGGTGGGAAGATACCCCTGAGGTCAAGCGTGTGCCCTGGTCCCAGGGCAGTGCTGAGCCTTCGGTGCTGTCTGGGGGCTGCCCGGTGCAGAGCTGCCAGGGCAGGATGGAGGGAAGAGGCGAGGCGGGCACTGAGCGCCATGGTGGCTGGGTGCTGCCGCTGGCCGTGCTGTCTGCCCCACAGAGGGTCTGTTAATATTTGATGGGGCACGTGAGGGACCCGCGACCTGGCTGGGCAGGCAACGTGGAGGGTGGTACCGGGCGAGCTCAGGGTGCTCTCTCCCACTCCAGGAGCTGGGTGCAGGAGATCAGCACACCTCTGGGTGAGCCTCAGCTGTTCTTTCCCTTCCACTTGCCAGCCCCGGCAGCTGCCCCTCTGCCGCCCACGGGGCCAGGCTGCAGTGCCAGGGAGGGACCAGACACCGCGGGGAGTCCTGGGGCTGTGAGCAGGGTTCTCTTGCTCTGGATGTTGGTGTAGAGTCTCCTGGAAACGGGTGAGTGGGAGCATTTCTGGGTAGGGAGCAACGAGTACCATGCTGGGCAGAAGTGACCCATTCTGCAAAAGGGCCTCTGTGTCCTCCCAGGGATGGCTCCAGTGGGGAAGGCAGGAGAACAAGAAGCCACTCAGCCCCACAGAATGGCTGCCGAGCACGTGTACGACTGCTGCTCCCTGGCACAACCCAGCCTCCAGCACAGCACGGTCCCCGGGTAGAGCTGCCCTCTCCGGGGTTTTCCTCCCTGAGCTTGCCCAGGTGGGACTTTGAAGCACTTGGAACAGCAGGGACATCCCCCAGTGAGGATTCCTACCCTTGAACCACTCGTGTCCTGGCCCCATGGTGTTACCAACACCCGAGTCCCTGTGCTAAGAGGCAGAGCACATCCATGGTGCTGGAAAACCCAGCTCCCCGCCTAACCCAGCTCCCTCGGCCCCATCGCCCCTGGTGCAGGCTGCCCAGCCCTGCAAACCCCTGGAGCCAAATGCTGCTCTTTGCTGGCTTTTATTGACACAGACAAGTCTTGGCTGGATCCTGTTCCTTGGAGCCAAGCCTGGTCCCTGGTCTCTGCACGGTGCCGTCACGCAGGGACCTCCATCTCCCCCTGCGGCTGCTCCCTGGTCTCTAGCGCCTGGCGTGTGTCCACCTGCCACTGCTGCACCAGGTCTGTCGGGGTCTTGCCAGCCTGCAAGAGCGGGCAGAGAGAGGCTGGAGCCGGGATGGCGTGGCATGGTGGGGCAGCAAATGGCCCCAGTGCTGGCCCACGCCACTTACCTCGTTCTTGGCCATCATGTCAGCCCCGTGCAGGATCAGCACTTTGATGATTTTGTAGCGGCTGAGCCGTGTGGCATCATGCAGTGCTGTGTCGCCTTCCTGTGAAAGATAGAGCCCAGCTAGGGATTGTAGTCTAGCTCTGGGGAGAGGAACCTCCACCTGCAGCACTGCTCCTGGCTCCCCGCACGCCCACTTTCCCAAGGGAACAAGGGGGACGGTGCCCACCCTAGCCCTGGCTGCATCTGCTGGCACCCCAGGGCAGGGACACGTGTGTCCGGACGTGCCCTGCTGTGGGTGCTGGGAGCCCCCACAGGGGTCAGCCAAGTGAGGAGGGATCAGCTTTGCCCCTGGTGCTGGCTGCGTGGCCGTAGCACTCACCCTGTCCGGGGAGTTGATGTCCACCCCACTGTGGATGAGGTGCTCCACAATGTCGAGGTGCCCAGTCCGGGTGGCCACGTGGAGAGGGGTGCTGAGCAGCTTGGCGGAGAGGAGAGCGACACCAGACAGGATCAGCACCTACCCCAGCTAACTGGACACAAGGCCAACCGTGGCCCCCGGTGGCATGTGCCCCTGGCACAGCCCTGTGCCCTCAGGCTCTGTCCTACACACCTTGTCCTTCAGGTTGAGGTCGGCCCCGTGGTCCTGCAGCAGCTTGACAGCATCCAGGTGCCCACCCCGGCAGGCCCAGTGCACAGCGGTGCAGTCCAGCTGGGCACACAGAGCCATGTCACAGCAGGGGACGCCCCCATCTCATGTCTGTCCCCCACCCCAGCTGGTCCCTGTGCCCAGGCTGAGCCAGCAGACCCCTGCCCACATCCACCTTGGCAGCGGGGACAGCACTGCCTTGCTGCGGGGACCTCAACCCTGCTGTTGCTCCAGCTGCGCCATGCCTGGAGGCTCAGACCAGTGTGGAGTCAGGGGGAGGATCTGGCCTCACCCGATCCCTGAAGTCGACGGTGGCTCCACTGTCCAGCAGCTTCTGCAGGATGTCCATGTGTCCTTCCAGCGAGGAGCGGTGCAGGGCTGTGCGGTGGAACTGGGGGAACAAGGTGGATGGATCCAGCCCCTGCCCCAGCCCCATTTTGGGTGTCCCAGCCTCTGTCAGCAGGCACGACAGGGCATGGTGGCAGGGTGCAGATGGGGGGGGGGCAGCAGCCATGGAGGATGTTACCTCGTCACAGGTGTCAGGGGGGCCACCGTCTGCCAGAAACTTCTCAATCACAGGCATCTTGCCCTGGACAGCAGCTCGCAGGAAGGTCTCTGCCCCTGCCCCAGCCCCATTTTGGGTGTCCCAGCCTCTGTCAGCAGGCACGACAGGGCATGGTGGCAGGGTGCAGATGGGGGGGGGGCAGCAGCCATGGAGGATGTTACCTCGTCACAGGTGTCAGGGGGGCCACCGTCTGCCAGAAACTTCTCAATCACAGGCATCTTGCCCTGGACAGCAGCTCGCAGGAAGGTCTCTGGCTCCACAGGCCCCTCCTGCCGGTGAGACAAGCTCAGAACTGGGGCATCGCAGGGGTGTGGGAGAGGGGACAACATGGGGGACCCCTGCTGTGCTTCCCCAGGGAGGTCCCTGGCTGGCAGGGTGACCTGGGGGCTGGCCCGTGGGGGCTCCAACCCCTGTTCCAGCAGCCCTGCTCCCGCACTTAGGACCCCCCCAACATACGATCTCCAGGGGCTCTGGCAGTGGGGCGGGCTCGGGGGTGGCTGCTCGCTCCTCCCGGCGCTGCCGGCGCTGCTTGCGGAGCTCGATGAGGCGCGAGTATCCCCCGCCGCAGGTCCACCGAGCTCTTCCGCACCCGCTCCTGGCCCTGGGGGGGACATGCAGCACCCCATTTGCCTTCTCTGCACCCAGCCACTCCCTGGCCCTCCCCGCACCCTGACCCACCTCACCTTGATGGCATTGAGGCCCCGGTTCCTGGGGCCACACCGTTTCTCCTCTTCCAGCTCAGGTGTGCTCATCCGCTCCACGGCCCGTGGCTCCCGTGCACCATCCCCTTTGAGTCGCTGCATGGGCCCGAGGGGGGCTGCATGGTCCCAGCCGGGCACAGAGCAGCCCCACTGCTTCCGTTCCCAGCCGATTGATGGAGGTAGCTCTGGGCACGGCTCACAGCTCACTGCTGAGGTCTCTGGGATGCCTGGCAGCCCTTAGGCTTACACTTGCCCACTTGCCCTGCTCAGCAAGCTGGGCACCTGCCCGCTGCTCGGCAGGAGCTCCCAGGTTGGGAACCTGACACCCCTGAGAAGCCTTGGCCACCCTGCTGCATCCCCTGGGATGGCAGGATCAGTGCCAGCCACCTTGCGCCCGGGCCCTAAGGACGGGCATGGCACACAGCAGGTCCCTGCCGCATGCCCCTGCCCTATGGACCTACCTTCTCCTCCTCCTCCTCCTCCACCAGCTTCTGCTCGATGAGCTCCTTGGCCCTTTGCACATCCAGCTCCATGTCTGCCTGTGGTGCACGACCCCGAGCAGG